TTCCAGGGCTAATATGAGTTAACGGATTTTTAAAGAATATTTGTCACTTTCTTCCAGAAACATTTTAAGATAAATTAGGATTGTCATCTGATCTGAAGCTAAACACAAGTTTGTGCTGCCCCCTGCCAAATTCATTCTCAAACTCATACCCTTGATGGCTTCCATTTTATTCCATACAGTAAATGGAACTGAATGTCTACTATTTAGAAAGAGATAGCGAGGCAGTGAAAAAATTAGAAAGAGGGTTCTGACTATAAGAAGCGTCAAGACCATTATGTCTAATAGAAAGAGTTAGGTAGTATACTATAAATGTAGTTTTGCTTGTTGGAAGACAGGACAGGAGCCACACCCACATTTCCTGTCCCCTCTTGGACATACACAGTGAGCTACCAATGAAGAAAGAAATGAGCAAAGATGGGAGAGAAAAAGAAAAGAAAGGCAAGGATGGGCAGGAAGGCCAGAAGGAAGGAAAGAAAGCTGAAAGATCATTTTCATCCCAGTAGGAAACCTGTACATAGTAGGTATTCAACAAAGACTTGTTGAAGTAAAAAATAAATAAATCAGAGAATGCTAGCAGAAAGCAGGAATAATAAATGCTTGTCAAATTTAATAATTTATAAGTTGTGGCTAATGGTTAAAGGGTAGAGAAAATAAAAAGACAAAATTTAATTCTTGATCCTTTTGAAGCTGGTTTCAAAAATACTTTTCAGTTATTGGTGGTAATAGACTGTCCGTTTCTTTTTGAAGTCAGCACTGATTTGCCTTGATGTTCTACAACATAGAACTTCATAGTTGGAGGGAGAGAGGAGCCATATGCTCTCTCTTTGCACAAAGCTCTGGGAATTTGCTCTTTACACTTAAGGTAGAGCTTTTTGTGTGCCTTTGATGATAAATGTCTGCTGACTGATTCAGAAAAAAAAAATCTGAGCATCTCAATGAAGCAAGTGTTTAAATGATCTGATGTACTGTAAGAATCCAAGTAGTCTTCCTTAACCACTGAACAAAAGCGCACTAGGCACAGATATTTTTTAATATGTATTTCTAAAGTCACACCTGATAAGCACTAACAAGAAAGATGATAACAAAAGCCACGTTTTATTGAGCACTTATGTACTGATTCTTTTGTGTGTGTATTTACATGAATTATTGTACTAATTT